TGACAGATTCGTTCGAGATCTGGTGTCCGTCAGGGCTGCATCCTTTCCCCTACAATATTCAATTGTGCCATAGACTGGATAATTGACACTGCTTATCGGCACTCAATAGGCTCCCAAATCAGTATGATACATCTTGAATACGCTGATGATGTAGTCCTTTTTGCTGACAGTTATGCCGAAATGCAAATAATGATAAATAACGTGTCAACGACTGCATTGAGCATTGGACTTATAATCAATAATGTAAATAAAACGAAAGTCTTTTCGACTTATATGCAAGAAGCTGATAAAATGCCTCTTTTTATAAATTCATTGCCGGTCGAGAAGTTTCCGATTTTGAATACCTTGGGTCCACTCTAATACCAAATGGCCAGGCAAAAGACGATATTATAGCCTGGATCACAGCAGCTAGAAATGAATTTTTCCGATTGACGAAACCTTTATGGAGCCGTCGTGAAATTATCATTAAAACAAAAGTTCGCACCATCTATATAGCCGTGATTCGTTCGATCTTGCTTTCGCTCTCAGACAATGACAGTGGAAGATTTTAAGAAATTATCTACCTTTGACCACTCTTTTCTAAGGTATATTTTACGGGTCCATCGAGAGGATAAAATATCACATCCATCTTCGTTCAAACACCACCTTTATTAATAATGTTACCACAGAACGTTCTGCACCACAGGAGTTGACGCATTGTTAAACCGTATGATGGATGGCGTCAAAAGCGAGGTGGGCCAAACAAGACCTGGGCTGATATGGCTAGAAAAGATTTTGCATGTATAGATGAACCAGCAATATATGGATTCAGACAATGGAAAAAGGAATGGTTTCTATAACTGTCGACAATAGCATCAAATCGGACCGCTTCGCTCAAAAGCATCCTATCATTGTAACCGTTAGAACCAGCGTAACTAACTTGGAAGAAGATAAAGACAAATTATGATAAAATTATCAAACATATGATAAGTGATTAATGATAAATTAGGACAAAACAATATTAAATAAAATTGAATAAGACTGATTTATTTATTTGTTTTTTCTAACAAAACTGATTTTTAGAACAAATTTTTTTTGCCATTTTTTCTCTCTGATTTATTTAATGTTTTTTTCCAACACTTCATCTTGCTTTCATTCTCAGTATTCATTTATTTATATTGCCAACCATTAATCGAATAAATGAATTCTGTTCTGCAACTTTTCTTTATGTTTAAAGCGAAAAGCTTTTGTTTTTTGTTTAATGATAATGAAACATCAACTAAAGCCAAAGTTTCGCAATGCACTGGATTGCGGAACTGACTGGTGATTACAGGTTAACCAACGAGTAGAAGGAGGTTAGGTGATTATTATTTTAAGGAATGTCTAGCCATAATAGATTAAATTCGTCTCCTTCGGTGAAAGTTCTGGAATTCATTAGACTGAGGAATTGACTGGTGACTATAGGTTGACGAAGCAGTAGGTAGAGGAAAGTTGGTTGAACATTAATGACAAGTCATCACAGGTTAAAATAGTGCTCTTTTGCGAAGATTCTGGAATTCATGGGACTATTAGAAATAAAATCCAAGTGATGCTGAGTGCTATACTCCTATCCTCGAAAGTCTAATACTTTTATATCACATATCGTAATTTTATGTCGTAATAATCCTTGGCACCAGTTAAATTAGAAATGCTAATAATATTCTGATTTTAATGAATATGCAGTTGATTTTGAGTTCAAAAGAATTCCTTGTTAAACATGGAATAATAAATGGTGAATGGTGAATATTGTCTGAGAAAAGTTTATATCGGAATAGTTTATCTCAAATGCGAAGAATTTATGGAGGATATTAAATCGTCAAATTTTCTTCTTCTCACAGCTCTCACCATGCTGGCTCCAATGGTCATAACGACAAGATTCTTCCAAGGGGCACGGTCCGGTCTGATGTCGTCGACAGTAATAGAAACCATTCCTTTTTCCATTGTCTGAATCCATATATTGCTGGTCCACCTATAAGTACAAAATCTTTTCTGAGCATATTAGTCCAGGTTTTGGTTGGCCATCTCGCTTTTGACGCCATCCATTACAGTGGTGGAGAACGTGCCCTAACCAGTGAAGACGACGCTTTGTGATTATGTCATAACTGTCAGCAAAAAGGACTATATACAAGATCAGCATATACAAGATCTTGATACGATGCTCTGGACTGATTTGGACATCTCTTGAGTGCAGATAAGCAATGTCCATTATCCAGTCTATCGCATAATTAAATATTGCAAGGGAAAGGACCTAACCTTGTCGTATACCAGTTTTTATTTCGAAGGAATCTGTCATTTCTCCATAACATAGACTTGCGCCAACATGCGCTCATAAAATGCTTTTATAAGTCGAAAACCTCTGGAACACCTTCGCTTCCATCCTGCAAAATGCCGCTCTATCAACTGAATCAAAGGCAGCTGCAAAATTGATAAAACATGTGACAATGGGTTGTAAATATCTGAGCAAGATGTACTTTTCTTAACGTGAATATCTGGTCAGCACAACCGCGCCCCGGTCTGAATTTAGCTTGATTAGGGTGCATCGTGCTATCTTAAGTACTTCCATAAGTCTATTGAGCGAAAGGGAAGCAAAAATTTTCGCTGAGACGTCTAGTAATAGGCTGATTCCCCGATAATTGTCACAGTGTGTCCTTTCACCTTTCTTGAGAATTGAAGACAGAATTGCTTTGCTCCAATCATCTAATAATATTTCTTTTTTCTATAATAGAGAGTATATTTGTTAAAGATGCGTTATGAAGGATGATGGTCATAATTAATCACTTATCATTTATCATATATTTCGATTCTTTTAAACCTACAGTAATTCCCATATTTAGTGACATTTCCTTTATTATGCCATTTTCAACTTTCGTCTTCTAACAACATTCACCATTTCTGGCTTAACTGATAGCTGTGATAATGAAATTTCTAGGCTAAAGAATTACCTAGGAATATGCGTCGGTCCCAAGCACTACTCAGAATTCATTTTAAGTGACAATTTTATTCACTTATAATTCGAACTTATACGACGGCTTAGCGTTAAGCGAAGCAACTTACTATTTGATTATCTAAATTTTGCGTCAAATTTCCTTAAAATTCTAAAAATTTCCTCAGTTAAAAAAATCGATCGAGGAAGCATTTTGAAGTGATTTGGGATTATATTAAACTGTAAATAAAAACTATTATTTATAAACCAATTGAAAGAACATTGAATTTCTAGTTTTCAAAAAATCCAATTGAATTGATTTTTCAAAGAATTATCATTTATCAGAAAAAAATCATTTTAAAAAGATAAGTTGAATAATATAAAATTTTCTGGATTTTCGGAATCGCTTATTTCAGTGGGAAACAGACTTTTTAACAAACTTTTTTAATTTTAAAGCTAATTTTTCATTTATACTTTCTTCCCTGAAATTTCTTCTTCCTTCTAAAATTGATTTTGATTTATTTTAATTCATTTCATTTGAAACAATAAATTTTATTTTTCGTTTCTTATATCATTTCATATCATTATATCATTTTTTCTTTGATAAAAATTTTCAACAATATTTTTAATTAAAAAAAAATTTTTTATGAAAATCAACCAACAACAACAAAACAAGAAATAATGTGGAGAATACGTCGAAACAAATTGAAATAAATGATTTTCTATAGGGAAAAGAGGAGAATTATGAAGAAAGAGTAAATAAATAAGTAAGTTGTAATGAGATGGAACATGGGAAATGGGCTTTAAGGAATACATATTGAAAGATGAAGGAATCAATCGAATCAGTCCAATGCAAAATGTCATCTTCAATTTATTTTGGCAATTATTTTTCTAAAATATTTCTTAAATGAATTAGTAATTTTATTATAATTTATATTATTATAAACATTAATAATGGCGGCGACTATTCTGAATATTTATTATTCTGATTATTCTGAATATTTATTTATTTTAATAAGAGGAAGATTATTGCATTTTTTTTTCAAATTATTTACAGTTGAAAATAGTTTTAATAATTTCAAATTATTGTTTTCAATCGAAAAAAATTAGAATTTTAGAATTTTAAAAAATTTTTTAAATTTTTTTATTTTGTTATTTTTTAAAAATCATTTGAAAAAAATTATTATCATTATTATTTCCATTATTTTATTTTCAACTATTATCATCATTATCATTATTTTTTATTATCAACTGATTATTGTCAATTATTATCATTATCGATAAAATGAAAAGTTAAATTTGTTTTTTTGAAAATAGCGATAAAATTGGAATTTTTTTTTTAGAACAGCTGAAATCTAAGCAATCATTTTTATTTATAATTCATCGTCATTCGTAATTTTGTTAATTTCTCTAACTTAAAATTTTAAATTTTAAAATTTTCACACTTTTCGGTTATATTTAAAAAACAAAAATTTGAGATCGATTTTCCTCATTTTTCATCTTTCATATTCTTATGAAATCCACGATTCTTTATTTTCTTTATTTTTATTTATTTTGAATTCTTTAGTTTTGAAAAAAAAGAATTTATAGAAATTTTTTATAGATTTGCCAGAGAATCGCTCAAATTATTTCCTATTATTTCCATAATAATAATAATATTTGCCTATAATTACAATTATTGTCTACAGTGTTGTTTATTTGGATTTTGATTTTGTGATCCGTATGGCCTGAAGAATTTACTCAAATTTTAATTCAAGAAATATGGCCAAATCGACGATTTTTGGCTTTTGGCTTATATTTGGCCTTTTAAACAATCAACGGCGATTCATAACAATTCTAAATCGTTAATATGAATGGAAGAATATTTGCATATGCGATATTTAATTGTTTAAAGAAATGATAACGAAACAGCTGGTGATGTCCACTGAACTTAATAAACCTTTTAAGCCAAATTTCAGGTCTCAATGAAGCCAAATGATTTTTTTACCTAATAAATAAGCGAATCCATTAAAAAAAAGAAAATAATTTAGTGGAGAAAAAATCCGATCCGCCTTTTTAAATGGCTTTGCCATTTCTAGGCGTAGTTGCACGTAATTGGTGCAGTGCTTTTCTAGATCAAACAAATGAACAACAGGAAGATTTTGAAGGCGGGATTTTAACGATTGTTGGATTAAAAGCACCAAAGCAAGTTCGATTTAGTAAGGATTATAATAATGATGGCGATGAGATGCGTTCAGCATGCAATCGTCTAGTAGAATCGCACGAAACGACTAAACTGAACCTAGCAATGTCATTGTCCACGCTACAAGATGAACTAAGATTTACCTCGACTCAATCCTATAATACATCTGCGATGAGTAGAAAGCGTTCACCTCGTACAATGAATTTCGTTCCAACAGGTTAGCTTCATATTGATAATATCAATTCGATTTTCTTTATTTATCACAATCAAAGGAAATAAATGAATGATAAGTTCAGATATTTTTTATTATCTCTAATAGCTGTCATTAAACATTTTATTTCTTTAAGTTTTACTAGATATGCGCCTTATAATTTCTCTTTTATTTGCAAGAATAAGATTTTTTTGAAAGCGTTTTAAAAAGCGTTTATTTATAGAATTCGAGGAAAAATGGAAAAATTGTGCATTTCACAGGGAAATCTAAAAAGTTTTCGGAATTCTATTTTTCTAAAAATATTTTTTAATTAGTATTTTATAAGAAAAAAAGCGCAACACTGAGCAATTCCCAGCGAAGATTAAATTAAAATTACGATTTGTAGTAAAATCACTTAGTCTTATCGCAATAATTAAAAATGCTAAGCTTACATACAATTCGCTGAATACAATAGGCATGTAATGGTCATTCTCACATCTTGAAAATTATGGTGAACTAACGTGGTGAATTCTTAAATTAATTAGAAAGTTTATGGTACATAAAAGATAAAAAATATCCTCATAGTACGCACCAACAATATTCAAATACCAAACATATATAATTCGTCCTCACCCACACGCTTCTGGCCAACTAAGCCAGTCTAATCAGTAAGGTGATTAGAAGAATAATGAATTTATTATAATATATTGAAGCTGGGGGAAGTCAAAGGAGAAGTCGTTCATCTTTAATTACAGAAGTTAGCAAAAAATTGCAAATCATATACAAATTTATTATTTGTTAAAAAAAAATATATATATATATATAAACAACAAATATCACCATTCATTGCTTTCAAAAAAAAAATATTCGAAAAAATCGCATAAAATAATGTAAGATATGGTCCAAATGAGTGGTTCTCAAGCATAGTTCTTAGGATCCTTTCATACTTTCAAAAATCACTGAGGACTCCAAATAGCTTTTGCTTATATGATTTGCACCTGTTGAACTTATTAGCTAAACGGTAGAAGGATAAGGACACACATATTGTGTGGGTCTCATACATATATAAAATATACAAGTAGATATTTTCACAAGTCCAAAAATTGCCTCAAATATATTTGAATTTTTGAATTCAAGTGTTGTTTATGATTCAATATTATTTAGCAATCTTGAATTTAGCCTGGAATAACCTGGAATATAGCTACAGCTTTTTTTAAAATCCTATCAATTTTTTTCCCCGCTTTTTTCAATAATTTTTTATATTTCTCATTTTTTTAAGTTTTTTTCGAAGCATTTCATTCTTTTTTCCAAATAAAAAAATTAACTAATCAAGTGGTTAATCAATTTTCTTCTACCATTTTAGAATATTAAATTATATTAATATGTCGAAATTTTATGGCTATATTTGTTAAATAATTAAAATATTACCAATATTATCAACTTCCATATGCATCGACATTACTTTCGCATGTCCTAAGCTGAATTTTTGGACTTGGATTTTTCAAATATTAAATATTAAAGAAATTTTAGCTTACTTACTAAGGAATTCACCTTATCTAATAAGTAAATAACTGATTAGAGTTCATTATTTCTGGTTCGACTTTTCGTATATTCCTATGCTCATATATATTTATTTTAAGTGTTTTATAATCATTTTAGGTAAATCTTGGAAATTATCAATTTTCTATTTCTCGTAAATTTAAAAAAAAAACTCGCAGAACCATAGCCATATTTACTTGGATGTTTTTTTGTGGCGAAAAATTTTCAATGTGTCTTAATGAAAAATAAATTTTTAACTGATTATCCATTAATCGAAAATTTATCAAAATTTTCTGAAGAAAACTGGCTGAACATAAAGGCAAAGAATTGTCTTTAAAAATTTCTGGCCGAGAATTTAGTGAAAAAAAAATATTTTTTTAAAATAAATATTTTATGATTTATTATTTATAATATTTATTTATTATTCTATATTTATATTTATTATTTTGTAATAAATATTTTATGATTTATTTCGCGATTTTGCAATAATTTCTAATATTTCTCGCGTTTTGGAAGATTTTTTTGATTTTGGCTAGCGAATTTTAGATTTAGATTTTGCATAAACTTATTTTTGCATACTTCAATAAATTTCGAGAGCTTTTAAGCTTTTTTTTTCTTATAAATTTACCTTCGTTATGGTGCGGAAATCGAATCTTTCATACTTTCATGCTTGTGATTTTCATGCGATAATATTAGTTAATTAATTAATTAAACGTAAAACATATATTTATTTATGTTGAAACTTATCAAATAAGAAAATAGTGAAAATTTCGAAATTTTCAATAATATAAATATTTTATTGAATTAATCTTATTTATTAGAAATTATTGCGTGTAAATAGATTTCTGTTGTTTGCTTTCATCCAATATTGAAATATAATTAATTCTAAAAGGCACTATAAATTTCAATGAATGGTCAACAAAGATAATATTATTATTCAAAAGTAATTTTTTTTTGACAATGATTTCATGGAAAAAATTTAAGAATATTTTAGTGTTCACTGGAAAAAATAAATCGAGAAATTCCGAAAATGAAAATATATTTATTAATATTTTATTAATTAAAAAAAAATATTTATTGATATTTTTATTGAATTAATCATATTTCTAATATCACTGATCACTTTTTTTTGCAATCACAGACGTATAAAGAAGCGGTGAAGTGATGAATTAAAGGAAAAATTCTAAAAAATCGCATAAAATATTGTGAGATATGATTCAAATGAGTGGTTCTCAAGCGTAGCCCTTAGGATCCTTTCATTTTGTTAAAAATCACTGAGAACTCTAAAGAGGTTTTGCTTATGTGAGTTGCACCTATTAAATGTATTAAAACCGCGAGATAGAATATCGTAAAAGTAAAATATCCTGTTGATTAAATCGTTTTATTTAAATTTTTGTTCTTAATTAAAATTTTCATTTAAAAAATTTATAGAATTTTCTAAGGCCCAAATTTATCATTTTAGAAAAAGAGAAAAAAAGGAAATAACACATTAGTATTAATTAGTATGTGAAAATTGTTTTTGCATTGACGAATAAAGCCTCAAAGCCTCAGGGACGACCCACGAAGGTCCGCTAACTCCACTTTAGGAACAAATTTTAAACTTTTAGTTTTATTATCAAAAGGCTTACGAGTGGATAATTTCTTGTCTCCGAAAAAAAGAATTTTGATTATTATATATTATTGAATTTTTTCGGTTTATATTCTTTTATAATTACAATTTATTTATAATATAAATTTTTATTTTTTATATTATAATTTTTTTATAATTGTATAATTTATATTATAATTTATAATTTTGTTTATAATTATAATAATAATATAAATTTTATAATTTATTTAACTCATAATTTGCTAATTATATTTTTAAATTATTACTTTTAAATTATTAATCGTTTAATTACAATAGTTTCAAATTTTTGGCAAAATTTTTACTGAATTTTAGCTATTTTATTTTAATTTTATTCATCTCTAAAACATAATTTTGCATATTTCTTTCTCGGATTTTATCTATTTTCCGACTTATTTCTTATTTAATTTTCAAATAATAAAGGAACGTTTTAACGTTTTAGCAATTCTATAGTATTTTTATCATTTATGAAAAAAATTATCCATACGTGAATAATGTTCATTTTTTTTTACATTATAATTTATTCAATCAATAATAAATAAAACGAAAAAAAATTATAATAAAAAGAATTTTTATTTTTATTTTTCGTAAAATTGTTAGCTATAAAAATATAAAATAAAAAACAACTATTTTTTTGCTAATTTTATTATTTAAAGGCTTACGAGCGGACGATTTCTTGAATCCGGAAAAAAATATGTTTTATTTTTAATTTTAAATCGGTTTTTCTACTAAGAAAAAAAAATTTGCCCTATGAAAGAATAAATGACAAACCTCGAAAAAGTTTATATCGAGAGTTCTCAGTAAGGTTAATTTAATGCACGAAGAACTCGGTTATAAAATTATAATAAGCAAAAATATTTGGGAGAGGGAAAAAGCGATATAGGATGACGCCGTTGTCATTTCATTATTTCATTATAACACAGTAGAAGGCAATGGTGAGCCACTCTTGTATTATTATTCTTCTTCTTCTTCTAACAGCTCTCACCATTACTGATTAGGCTGTCTCCAACTGGCTTCAAGAGTAAGACGTTTCCATACTACGCGGTCTGATGTCATCGTCGACAGTAATAGAAATTCATATATTGCTGTTCCATCTATACGTTCTTTGTAAAGACATTCAATATGTATGGAAAAATAAGAAAAATCTTTCGGAAGATTTATGGATTCCGAAGAAAGTTCCAATCTCAATTTGGTAAAAAGGCACTAAATGGATGGAACATAGTCAATTGAATTAGGAACAAAAAATATGTCAAAATACATCGAAATATATAAAATATCAAAATACAAAATCAAAGAGAGTACAGATGATATTGCATACTAATAAGAATCTCAAGTGCCAGAAGATAAAATTAGTACAATTATCAATTATTATCAATTATTTCTCTAATTATTATCAAATCGAAAAGGAGTTGATAGCCAGCAAAATTTGGCAATCAATGGAATTAAATTCAGAGTTCAAGATTTTGAATTAAGTTTATATCAACAAATCTGGCAAAAAATGCAATAAAGCAGTAATGAATCAACTGGAAGAGATCAACCTATATTTTACTTTGAGGAAAAGGCAATATGCAAACTATGGTGCAATATCCTTGACTTTAGCAAGATACTGGAAAAATAATGCTTACAATCATCCAACGCAGATTACATCGGAAAAAAGATGATCATATCAAGTTATGCAATATACTCGAAAAATTTTATAAATCCCAGAATCCCAAAATATTTCATAGTCCTCATGAGAATCCTGATTACATCCAGGTCAAAAACCACAATCTAGAATATTGAAAAACAAAGGTGGTATTAAATTGAATTATTCGTGATCTCGATCAGAGTTTAAGAATTTGAATGCGCAGTATCTTAATTTTTCATAGCAGTTTTTTTTTTTTAAAGAGTCCTCATCATTACTGGTTAAACTCGCTCCAATGGCTTACCACATTGACCTTAGTGATAAAAATAGAGGTGAATCGCCATCATCATCCGGAATTTTGGACGGGTTTACTCCAGCGGAGATCGAATCTCAGCATCGGTGCTCCGAATTTAGCAATAATCCAATGAGCCATTCTATCTCCACCATTTTCGTAGCACTATGCTCTTCTGAACAGAGATCTCTGAAATTATTCTAGGATCTGTTGCACTTTTCATGCTAAGAGACCTAAAAGCCCCTAGTGCTTCCACCACTAAGATCAGTTTTCATATCTTCTTCTAAAGTTCCTGTTTCAACCACTGATATTTCTATTCTCATATTCCTTGATGTTCGTTCTTGATCTCCTACTGATTTGATATTGCTATCACCACTGCTGTTTGTTGTCTTTTTCAACTATCACCATATCTTATTGAATAATTAGTATTACCTTGCCCCTCTGGATTGGGAAATCCCACATACCTTAAAACATATATGGAATATATAAAATAGGGCTAGTTGGAAGAATGTGCTGTGCTAATCATGCCACTACGATAGCGTAATTAAATATCTTATCCGAGGTTCACTAGGCTGCTGTGTCTTAGTGTTAATCCGCGACTTGTCTGCCAACATATCCAAAGAATCTCTGAGCCTTAATCTTAAAAATGGAGCTAAATACAACTAAATATAAAGCAGTACAAAGACTAACCGAAAGACTGAAGATTAATGACTAAATGACAAAAACAGCCAGCATTCTACGAATTGATCAGCATATCGAAATGCTTGATAATTTCTGCTTTTTAGGATCAATCATCAACAATAAAATATATGTGTATGCAGCAGAATAGCCTAGAAGATCTTGAATAATATAAAAAAATATTCCTATGTGACTCTTTGAAGACAAAAAATATCCCACTTTGGAGATCTCAGCTCTCAAGAAAAGTATGCTGCTGATAGGAATGAAAGAGAAGTGACGAGTAACCAGGTGGATAGATTAAGATTCAGGGGATAGATTTATGAAAGGCAATGAGCAGTTGATAGTTGACTGTTGACAGATCAAGTCACTATTTTTCGAAATCATCTGTTCGCTAGAAGCTTGCTTGATAGAGATCTATTTAGAAAGAGGATACAATGTTCGAATAGTGGGTTATTCAATTGCCGACCACCAAGTACCATCAGTTCAATTTATATTATTTGTAAACCTCTTTTTAAAAATGGAATATGAATGTTTTGAGAAATGCCATTCTATTTATTATTTCCATTTCCAAGTAATTTTCTATTGCGAAATGGCGAAAAGAATTCGAAATAAGAAGTCTAAGAAAGAAAGAAATTTGATTAAAAAAAATAAAAAATTATTGGTGCATTTTATTTTATTATATTTTATTATAATGAATAATTTATTTTTAAATCATTATTATCTCATAAAAATTTTCATAAATCTAAAAAAAATGAAATTTTGTTTCTTTGCAAGAAAATATTATAAAATAAATTATCCATGTATTTATTATCATTTTTAATATTTATTCATGAATTTGTTTTTTATTTGTTTCCTTTTCTCAGTTTTATCGATACAATTTTTATGGATTAATGATAAAAAGAAAAAAAAACTTTTTTTGTATAGGAATAATGAATAAATGAATGAAAATAATGCAAAAGAATTGGCTTATTCTAATGCATCTATTATTACTTTTAAAATGCCTTTAACAAAATAATATAATATTTCCATCATTATCATTTATGAATTTTTATCATTTTTATTCCATTTTAAATTCATTATCATATGCATAAAGAAGTGAAAATATATCGTCGTCTCTTGCGATAATGCACTCCCACCGTTCATTTTAGTTGATTTTTCACGATAAATTTTCACGAATAGTGAATTTTGCTCAGATAATTATTTCTTCTTCTTCTTACTAATGGCCTATTTACGACAGTTATTATCATTAATACTTCAAATCGTATTTATTTCAATAAAATAATTTTGGATTTTTTTTGAAAATTTTACAAAAAACAACTGGCAATCAAGTTATCACTGAAAAAAAATTTCTTAATTTGGTTAGCCTATATCAAAATTCGAGAAATAATTTTTTTTTTCCATTTTCCGTCAACCTATATAGAATCGTTAAATGTCGATATCGGAACCACAACCTTCATCGTCTGCTTCTTCATCGATTGTTCAACAACAACAAACAATTAGAACGGTAGAAAATGAGCGAATCACGTTACCTTCACAAAATACAAAAGAAAACGATGATGCCTTAAGTGATAGCAGTAATGATGTGGAAAATTTGGCTATGCGAACACTTGAAAATTTAGATGAGAAGGTATAAATTATTAAAGGATAATGAAAGATATTTTTTTGCAAATTATCGCTAAACTGATGTTTATTATTGCTCTAATCGATTTCCTTAATTTTCCTTCTTAATTTTGTGATAAGATGACGGAAAAAGTTTCAATGATATAGTATATTTGATAAAAATTTGATAAAGATGGCAATTTCTAAAGAATTTTTTTGTTATAGGAAGTCATATTGAAAGATTATTCAACTCTTTATCACTTATTTAAAAAAAATATATCAAGAATATCTTTCGTAAAATTTCAAGGATCCATGCTAGTTTAAAAGAGATATGCCAGTGTATAAGAGACTTTGCATGAGAGCTTAAAGAAAATTTATGGATATATGAATATGGATGGATATCAATGCTTAAGGATTGCATTTTCGATTTATTAGGTGATATGATAAAATTGAGTTAATGAATAAAACTAACAAATTTAGCCAACAAATTTGCATGGATTATCAAAAGGATTATTATCAAATGATGAACCAGATAAAAAAATCGTGAATAATCTTCTAAACAGTCGAAAAAAAGACATCAATGACAATAGTGATGGAAAAAATGAAAATTGTAAGAATTTTTTCAAACGGCAATGCTGTGTTTTTCTTTCTCAGTTATAAAAATTTTAATAAAATTTTTTAAATTTTAACCTTTAATCATTTAATTTCACAGAATTATATTGTAGATGAACTGAAAAATGAGGATATTATTTTTTTTGAAAAATTTTATTTCTTTTTTTAAATTTTCTTCTACTTTTTTCTAAAAAGTTCATTATAATATAATATGGAGATGGGATAACCGAATAGTTCAATATTCTAAGCATAATCTGCAGAAAAAGAAAAAAAGCCATTAAATCTTTCGTATAACATTATATCTTTGCTTCATTAATAATTTACCTAATTTCAATTATTACAAATATTTTGGTTTCAAATTTCAACTAACAATATTGTTATTCATAAATATTTACTTATTGAAGCAAATGTTTTAAAGCATAACGTTCATTTTAAATTATTTGAATTGCTATTCATATTTTTACAAAAATTCGTGAAAGAAGTTTTCATCTCGCTTGGCAGATTACTGATATGATTTTTCTAAAATTTTTCATTAAAAAAATTTTAATTTTTGATAAAAAAAGTCATTTTCGTTTTCGTTTTCTTGCAAAATTCTTATATAAAGTTGCAGTTTTTACCAGCTTTCTTACTGCAACTAAAATAATTCAAGTGGTTAGCCTTGATTAATTAGATTCCTATTTGATAAGCATGGTAAGAAATTTTTGCTAAGGAATTATTTGGTGATAAAACGATGGATGGATGGTCAACGCTGTTCGAATTTTTTAATTGAAAATTTAACTTCTTAGCACAATAATTTAGGGTATTATCCACTCGGCTATTATGCTGTCTTATTATGAATATTTTAGAAGAATTCTATATCGAATTTGTAAAATAAAAAAGGGTCTTATGAATTTTTTAAAATAAAATAAAAAATAAAAATAAAAAATTAACTATTTTTAAATAGGCATTTTTTTTCATATTTTTACTTTTATATATAAATACAGATGCATTTGTGCATTTCGTAAGCTATCAAGATTATTATCAGATTTATCAAATAGAATTATTTGATGCATTTTGAATCAGTGTTTATCGGTTTTTCATTTTTCTTCGTTAATTGAGAAGGCTTTTGTGGATGAAATAAGATTTCTATAATTATTTTCATTCTCCTTAATATTTTTAAAAATTTTATTTAATTAATAATTAATAATTCGGTTCTAAGTGGAATCACTTTTAATATTCGACAATTTCGATAAATAATCTCTTTAATTAAAAAAAGCTTAAGAACAAAAGAACTCTTATATTGTATAATAAAATTATTTATAAATCTAACTAATCTCAAAATACTTTTTAATGGATTTTTTTTTGCGATTTACAATTTTATTAATAATTTTTATTTTTAGCTTTAAGTTTGTCAATAAATAATTAATTAATTAGATTAAAATCTTTATTTTCAAGTCAAATTTTATATTTTATTTATTTAAAATTTAGATTTTTGCTTTTCATAGAGGAAATTAATGGGAAAGGAATTATTGAGAAAGGCTAAAAGAAAAGTAATTCAATTGAGAAATAAATATATTATTGCTATTTGGGAAAAAAGTACATAAAATTGCTCATATTTTATCAAATTTTTTCGTTTTTTCAATATTCGTGTTATATTTATTTGAATTCATTGTCTAATGATAATTCTTATCATTTTTGGTTTTGTTGCATTTCTTGATTTTTTCACTAGAAAAACCACTCGTTCACTGGATAGAAATCCACTTAGCATTGCTCTATGAATAAAATTTATTCATAGAAAAGAATGAAAAAAAAAAATTATCCCCTCATTTTGTTTCGGATTTTTATTTTTCGTTTTTTTTTTATTAAGCTAAATCAAAATCATTTATTTTTTTTTAAAGTGTTTCTCATTATAAATTATTTTTCGTTGCTATTAATAAAATATTTCGTTGCTATTAATAAAATTGTAAAAGAATTTTTTCTTATGAAAAATATATTTATTTATTCGACAAGAAATGATCCGAAATTGTAGTTTATTAACAATGAAAACTAATGAAAGAAATGAAATGATTGAGAATTTATCAAAAAATTTATTTATTTAAAATAGTAAGGCACAAATTGAGAAATATTAAAAGCCTTACGAAGAACCATAAAATGAACCAAAGGATTAAATAAAGATTGATTTTTTCTCTCCCAGTCGTTCGCTATTTTCACTTTCTTATAGTTTTTAGATCGTTAATAAAAATTCAAAAATCGCATAAATAATAAATAATTATAACTATACATTTATATTTCATTACCATTTTTCCCCTTTTTTTTTCTTTTAACTTTGAGAATCCAAGTGAAATTTTTCTAATTTCTAATTTATTATAGAAGATTAACTAAATTTCGTTGAAATCGTAATTTTCTATAAAAATTTCAATGAATATAAGCAAATATAAATTTTTAGAAACTACTTTAAGGCTAAATTTTCTCCAAAAATTTTTCGTGCTTTTATCTCTCTCTTTGAACTTATTTATTCTTCTAAAAACATCAGCCAGGAAACGAATGGTCAGGGCTGATATGGTTGCTTCGATTCGCTACAAGTGTAATAGATTCATTTCTCTGACAGGGAGCAAACATCAAAAAAATTTGGATAATGCTAATGATCCACGCATACTCCTATCATAAATGACTTTTTTAGCAAAAAATTCCTAAAAATACGATACAACCAGCGGAGTTAATTTAGCCAGAGCAGTGGACAGGGACCATTCTTCTTCTTCTTTTAACAATTCTCACCATTACTGGTTAGGCTGGCTCCGTTGGCTACAAGAGTAAGACATCTCCAAGTCGCCCAGTCCGATGCCATCGCTAGTAGTAATAGAAGCCATTCCTTTTTCCATCGTCTAAGTCCATATATTGCTGGTCCATCTATACGTTCAAAATCTTTCCTGACCATATTAGTCTAGGTCTTGATTGGCACACCTCGCTTTTGAAGCCAATTATCACAGAGTTTAGCAAATAGCGAAATATGCGTCAGCTCATGTGGTGGACGACGAAGAATGTGTCCTAACCAGCGAAGATGACACTCTGTGATAATATTAGTAATGCAGATGGTATTTGAGAAGGTGGATACAGTCATGTGCGATTTCATCTCCGTGGATCTCCGTAGAATGTACCTTAGACATGAGTGGTCAAAGGCTAATAGCTTTTAATATCTTCACTTTCATTGGCCATATTTCGCATCCACATAGCACTTTCGAACGAATTGCAGCTATATGGACACGGATTTTCGTCTTTATAGTGATTTTGCGACGGTTTGATAAAGGTTTCATCAACCGGAAAAAGATAATTCTAGCTGCCGTTATCCGGGTTGCGATTTCATCCTTTGCTTGGCCATTTCGGATTAGAGTGGATCCAAGGTGTTTAAAGTCTAAAGACAGGAGTCATTTACTTAAAATTATCATCATCTCTTGTTTTATTGGTTCCATCATCCATTAGGATAAGAAAAAGAAGGATCTTTCGCCAAGGAGTCCTTTAGGAATAGGTGTACTTTAGGAATAGGATGGATTGCTGGCATCAGCCGGATTTAAGTTTAAATCAGAGACTAATCTTCTTAAAATGCAGGTGTCTAATCCATTTTGCTTAGCTTCATTCGGATATCTATAGAATTATAATCGAAGCATGTAGGAAAGCCCTAGGAAACAAAATGCGTTAATAATTAATAACAAATTTTTTTGGAGAAGTAGAATAGCTCAGCGACTTATTAAGAGTACTAATGCTAGATTCTACTACTCGCAGAAGTGAATATATCGTTCAAAAATCTTGTTTTGCAGACGATCCATGTGTATTTCTTGTTTGCCTAATCCGACATGCCAATATTGTAATGATGGGGCCCTTTAAGAAAAAAATTGATAATAATAACCGTTTTAATGGTAATAATAATCAACTTTTCTTCTTCTAATATCTCTCAACATTACTGGTTAGGCTAATTCCAACTGCTAGCTCCAAGAGTAAGATGCTTCCATACAGCGCGTTCTGATACCAGCGTCGATAATAATAGAAGCCATTCCTTTTTCCATCGTCTAAGTCCATATATTGCTGGTCCACCTGTACGTTCAAAAATCTTTCTTTTCTGACCGTATCAATCCAGAATCAACTAATTGTTCAGAATGATATTAATAATTGATTATATAATTCCCTTTTCCATCTCTTGTGAATTGTACGGGTCATCCTTAACTCCAACCTAATCTTCTACGAGAGGTTTGAGAATTTGGAGGTTCTATGCTTTATTTTAGCTGTTTTCTGACTACTTCTTCTAGTTCTAATGCTCTGATATTATTCCTCGAATATGTTGGTACCATTTTTCTAATTTAAAGCACTGATAATCACTTCTACCACCACTGATTCCCTTTCAACCCCTGGTATTTCTCTATTTTCTCATATTCCTTCATCTTGATGGCTTTTGCCAATATCATTAAATCACCAGAGTTGATTTCTGGTTCTTGTCTACTATCACGATATCTGGTTGATTATTCAATATTTGCTTATCTGCCTGGATGGAGAAGTCGTACAGGATTTTCTCCATGATCTTCTGAGAATACTGCCACTCAATCTGGGAAAAAAATCTAAATTATATCTGCTGAATAGAATCCTGTAGACAACGCCAGCTATTTGGTTATACCTTTTAATTTATGCCTTTTCTGCTTATATCTTATTTATCATTCTTTCTTCGGCAGTTTCTTCTCTTCATATGCTTTGAGTGTTATCTGATGTCGTAGATCTCTGGATATGCTGCTTTTCCAAGCATTGATAGGATTTCTCAATATCAGCTACCTCATCTATCTCAATCGATGTTACATCCCAAAAAAGATCTTATATGATTTATCACAGTATTTCCTCTGTTTGGTCTTGCTCCAATGTCTATTGATGGTTCAAGCATTTAATTAACAACTCATCCTTTGGTACCATCTTTATCATAATTCCTGAATGTTTTGCGAATGCTTCATTCAGTGGCTTGGGCATTCACCAAGATCTCTTTCAATTTCTTTCCGGCTTGTTCTTTGAGTATTAGACTAGAAATTTCTGTCCATTGTGAAGAATTTCCAGGTTATCATATCGGCAATCTCTGTATCTAGCCTTATTATGCCAGCTGCGTACTTGACTGGTATAATTATGGCGCGGGAATTTGTTTTTGTACAATTTTTTCCTACTGAACTTTAATCCATTGTTGGATGTCTGTAATTGTGATGATAACTGGTTCCTGGTCTGAGCTATGGTTTTTCAGGTCCTGCAGCCACTTTACATTGAATCTTATGAATCTTCTTTTGTTTCCACGTATGCATGTAGTATTTCTGCTTCTAGTTTCTGCTTTTGGTGGCTTTAAATATATTATTGTGCTACGATTGAGAATGGTTCTTTGACGAATAAGATTTATCTTTTTGGTTTTTCTAGCGTAGCTCCTTAATTTGGTGAAGCCTTGCTTGAATCTCTGTTTAGAAGTCCCTAGGTTTCTGGAGTGTAGAGTGTAGGCCTTCTTATTCCTATTCTTTATCTTTCTTATCTTATTTATCTTTCTTTAATTCTTGCTGTAACTTCTTTATGTTACGCTCTTCTCCAGTTTTTTCCAAAGGCAATATATATCATATGCATTATTCTCTTGCTTTATCCAGACATTTCCAGAATTACAACGGCTGCGGTATGCATCATTACAATAATAATAGGAATTGTAAGAGCTCTATTCACATTCAAGAATTATCTGTCGATACTTTACTGAGCCTCGGTAATCAATTTTTGTAATAAAATGCCAGACTACTCTGATTCCATAATGTGTAACACAGTTTCAGTAGCCCACTTATCATCATCATCAGATAATCCTGATTCTTTAAGATCTGATGCAGAACTTATTAATGACGAACGAGCCAGCATAACTCAATTTGTTGCATTATGCTACTTCTGTACTTCTATCCCCATTAGTTCATTAAAGGGGTAATTATCATAGTCGTAATAATAATTAGAAACGGCCAAACTAGAAATTTTCAATTCTTAGATTTATAAAAAAAAAACAGGAAGAAAAAAAAAATTTACAGATTATAAATAATTGTTACTTGATTATTGGTTTTTATTATTATTATTATTTTATATTATTTTCGATTTTTTACTCGAATTTTAAATTTTCAAAATAATTAATCATGAATTATTAGAATTATTATTATTAAAAATATTAAATAATAAAAATGTTATGTGAATATTATTTTTATTATTTAATATTTTTGTTATGTTAAAATGTTATGTGAATATTTTTGAGTAATTAAATAGTAATAGTTATTTCTTCGGGATAGAATGGCTGAGTGGTTTGTTGCTCGATTGAGAGCGCCGATACTGAGGTTCGATTCTCCGAAGGAGTAAACCTGCACAAAAATTCGGGTGATGCTGGCTCGCTGGCTCACCTGTATTTCTTTTGCAAAGGGACTCTCTATTGCTCAATGTGATAAGCAAGTGGAGCGAGTTTAACTAATATTGGTGAGGAACTCGTTAAAAAAAGTTATTTCTTGCAAATTTAGTTCTGCTGGTTTAATATGGTTTAATGGAATCAGTTGACGATAAAAAAATTGGTGTTAGAATTAGTTCAATTCTCTCAATAAAGAGTGTATTCCCACTGGAGGAATAAGCCGAAATTTTGCTTCCAATACGATAATCTTAGTGTCATTCTCTGTTCGGCTAACCTATCCTTTGAAGTATTTAAGTATATAAATATTTTTTTTCAAAATTTTTCATCTATTTATTGAAAATATTTAATAAAAAAATATTTAAAGAATTAATAGGTTTATAAGTGTTTATGCAAATGAATTAGATGATTTTTCGCATAGAATTTTCATATTTAATTCTTTATTTTTTAATGAATATTATTTTTTTTATTATTTATTTTTATTTTATTATTATTTTATTATTAAATTCATTTAAATTGCTTTTATCTAAATTTTATTTACTATTTACTCGAAAGAGAAATATTTAATTTAAATTATCAAGAAATTTGCCTCCTTTGCTTTCAATAAAAAAAAAATTTTTCAGGATTAGAAAAATTTGCAGAAATATTTTATGCCACTTACAATGTCAATGCTTTTTCAACAATGCCATAAGCATTAAAATAATGCGAGTAGGCGTTTCCTTTAAGGCCCTATTTTGGTATAAATTAACGTTTAAGGCTCTATTTTTGCATAAATTAAGTCAATATTTTATTTAAAAAAAAACGATTTTTTATTAAATATTTTTCATCTATTCTATAGCGTCCTTCAATGATTTTTAATGATTTATCTATTTTTTTTAAATGGGTCTTAAATATTTAATAAACATTTTAAATATTAAATATTTTAAACATTTAAAAATATTCAAATATTTAATATTAAATATTTAAATTTATTTAGAAATATTTATTTAAATATTTAAAAATATTTAAAAAAGAAAAATTTAAAAAAAAATTTTTTTTCAAACAATATTTCTATAAAATTATCTAATCAAATATGAGGAAAAAAAACTTTAGAATTAAAATGCGAATTTAACTATTTTATTAAATTCGCTGACTGATTTTTACTCATTTTTATTGGCTGAATTAATCAAATAATTCAATTTTATTCGCTCTTAGCTATCATTTTCTATTTTTCTATTAAAATATTGTATATCAATACTGTCGATGAAAGCAGCGAAAAATTCAGGTCTGTTAATCAGCACTTTTTCTTCCTTTTTCTCAAATTTTTTTTTCTGGAATTTAAATGAAATAAAATAAAATATAAAATAAACATAAAAATAAAATAAAAAAATAAAAATAAAAAAATAAAAATAAAACAAAATATATATAATAAATTGTTATAATTTTATGTCTAAGCAAATTAATTTCAATAAAATATTAAACTGTTGTATGTTTTTTCTTTTTATTTCTTAAAATTTTAATCCACTAAATTGGCTTATGGATATGGCTTTTCTCTTCAAATTTTAGAAAATGGCAAATATTTTTCGGTAAATTAGCTAAAATTGTTTTTTATTAAATATTTTTCATCTATTGAATAGCGTTTTCAATGATTTTTAATGATTTATCTATTTTTTTAAAATGGATTTTAAATATTTAAAAAGGCATTTTTAAAATAATTTTTTTTTCAAACAATATTTCTATAAAATTATCAAATTAAATATGAGGAATTCCATAGAATTTATTATGCTTATTTAATAAATTATTATTATTAATACCATTAATATTGGGGCAGAGAATGGTCCAGTGGGAGTTTACTCCCGCAGGAGTAAATCTGTCCAAAAATCTGGGCGATGCTGGCGATTTACTTATATTTATATCATCAAGGAAAGCTCCCTGCCATATTCGTCTAGCGCGTAAGCCAGCAAAGCAAGACAAATCAGTAATGGTGAAGGCTTTAAAAAAAAACTGCTATTACTATTATCATTATTAATTATTTATTAATGATGATGAATTCAAGGTTTAAATTCGAACTGCTTTTATGATTGCCTTTTATTTTTGTGTTATAATTGAAGGAAGACGAAAAAATAATATTTTGACATGCTTGATGAATTGTCGAATGGTATTATTGTTCGTAAGAATATTGAAAAAGAAAATTTGATGTAAATTTCCGGAATTCTATGGAATATCATTTTTAAGAAGCAGTTAAAACAGTGCAAAATATCTTGTCAGACTCAATGATTTATTATAAAAAATTGTAAAAAAAAGAGAGAAAAAAGACATTTCTTGGATTTTTGCTTAGACTTTCCTGAATCTGAGTTTCTATTTTTCGATTTCTATCCAGAAAAATTCCTAAAAAAGAAACAAATTGAACAGAAACGGCAATTATTTTTAATTCGCATTAAATTTTTGCTATAATAGGTTTATCAATTTACTAATAGCAAATTTATAGCAAAAAGTTCGTTTAAGTGAGAAATTTGCGCATATTTCAAATTAATAATTATGAATTTCTCATATTTTATTTTATTTTTTAATTTTAGAAATTTTTTTTTCAATTTTAGAAATTTATATATTAGGGATTAGTAGAATGACCGATTGATATATTCATTTTCTCATTATTTTAGGAAAATAAGACTGCCAATAAAAGCGAAATCCAGGCAGTTTGAGGTGTTGAGATATGAAATTGTGCCTTTTATTCTCCTCGAAAAGATTCTCTTCTTGAAGAGTTCCATTCAAAGTAGCGAAGTAGAATTAGTGGAATTTAATACTAAATATTAAAAGATGATAATTTTCACATAAGATTTTAAATTTTAGGTAAAAGCAAAAAAATTTTCAGTTAGTTTTTTTTCAGCAAATATACAAACCGATTTCGGTATTTGTGGTTGGATACTCACATTTTTATCCTACATTCTGATATTCTTCACATTGCCCATTTCGGCTTGTATGTGCATTAAGGTTATTTTTATCTTAATAAATAATAAATTATTCAGAAAAAATTATTTGCATTTGTATTATTAGATGAAAACCTCTTATGATGTTCTAATTTTTCTAAAAAAAAATTGAAGTATTATCTTCTTTTCGCCTTTTATCTTTTATAGAAAATCTTTGCAGGTCGTTCAGGAATACGAACGAGCAGTTATTTTTCGGCTTGGCCGATTAATGCCTGGTGGAGCTAAAGGACCAGGCAAATTTTACACTTTACCACCTTAACTGATAATACCAATTTTAATAGATTAAAAAAGTTGAAAATTTGATGAAATTCATAAAAATTCTTTTCTTTTGGTAGAATCGACAAATTAATAATAATAAATTTGTGATGAAATAATTCTATAATGAAAATAATGAAATGAAATGAAAAAATGAAAAAATTTGGAAAAAAATTTTAAATTAAAAAATCGCAAAATTTCATTAATAATATTTATAGTAAAAAAATTTAAAAAATTTTCAATTTATATGATTAATAATTATAAAAATAATTGAACTTTTTTCATTTTTTTCTAAGTTCAAATTTTTTCAAGAAAAAATTTTCTTAAAACTTTTATTTTATAGTCATTTTTAGGCATATTTTTCATAGTTCCTTGTATTGACACTTATCGTAAAGTCGACCTTCGCGTTATATCATTCGAAGTACCACCACAAGAGGTGTTGTTTAATTTTAATTTTTCTTTTATTCGTTTCATAAAATTTAATAAATTATTTTGTGATTAATTTCTAAAATTTTGCATAAATATCTTCTTAAATTTTTTCTTCTATATTTATTCTTTAATTCAGATTCTTTCTAAAGACTCGGTGACAGTCGCTGTAGATGCCGTCGTATATTTTCGCATTTCGAATGCAACAATTTCTGTAACGAATGTGGAAGATGCTGCTCGGTTAAAAATTATATTTTGCTTGAAGGAAAACTGACGAAAAGTGATTCATTCTCGCATAGGATGGTTTAGTGGCTTCTTACCACTAGTGAATGCCATAATGGTTTAATTTCTGCCTTTTGATTGGAGTCGATCTGCCATTGAAGCCCTAATAGTGTCGACAACCGAACTATACCTCATATGTTCCTCTGGCGAGAGGCCATGATGGGACCACTTGAACGAGAAATGGCGAGTAAAAAAAAGAGACCATTTTTTTATTTATAGATCCACGAAATTATTGGCTCAAACAACTTTACGCAATATTCTTGGTACTAAAACCTTGGCTGAAATGTTATCTGACAGAGAAGCAATATCATTACAAATGCAGGTAAAACATTGATTTCACAACCAATTTAATATTTAATATTATTTAAATTTAATATTTTTTGGTAATTTTGACGAATTTTCAAATCTTCAAAAATTGAGAAATATATTGCAAATATATTTTCAAATATATTTAAGAGTACTTTGGATGAAGCAACTGAGCCATGGGGAGTTAAAGTCGAGCGCGTAGAGGTAAAAGATGTTAGACTGCCAATTCAACTGCAACGTGCTATGGCTGCCGAAGCTGAAGCAGCTAGAGAAGCTCGAGCGAAGGTCTTGCTTTATACTGCCCTTAGTTCCTTGGATAAATTTTTTCAAGAAAAAAATAAATATAATCTTCAGGTAATTGTTGCTGAGGGTGAACAAAAAGCTTCTCGGGCACTAAAAGAAGCTGCTGAAGTTATCGCACAATCGCCACCTGCACTTCAATTACGATATTTGCAAACCCTTAACTCAATAAGGCAGTTTATCACATTTTAATATTATCCACAAGGAGTTTTCTACTTTTTTAAGCAATTTTTAAATTAATTGGGTGGTTTTATTATGAATTGGGAAGGCATCGTTTAAATTGTAGGAGGTCTAGAAACTATTTATTTTATTTATTTAAATCGTTGTGGCTAACCGAATAGTTGTCCATCAGATTATCGTCTTAAGCACCAAAGTTCCTAATCGGACAATCGCAAATGAATCGCAATAGCAACCTGTTAGAAAATCCGGACGGTACTCCACCTGCATTTTCTTTTCGAATGGTTCTCTGAAAGTAAAAAATATTAATCGCCATCATTGTATTGGGCCAGATCGGCGGAAATCGACGGATATTAACCATTTACTTACTTTTGCTATTTGTTATTTGCCTTAATCGAATGATAATTATAATATTTTTTTAGTGCGGAAAAAAATTCGACAATAATTTTTCCATTTCCAATCGATTTATTTTCATCATTTTTTCAACAGAAATCAACAAAAACGTAAGTTTCTAAATTATTAATTTTTCTAATAAAAATTAAGAATTACTCGAGAGAATTAGAATCCTTATAATTAGCATAAAATTCATTTTTAGAGAATTCATTATCTATAGAAAAGCGCAAAATTAAAATATTAAGATTTTATTACAAGTAATTTTACTTATTAGATAAAATTTCTAGAATTAAATAATAATTATAGTAGTGATTTAGGTAGAAAAATAATATTATAAGGTAAATAATCACCAAATGATTTTTTGATAAAATTCGTCTGGCCTGAAAAGAGAGAATCTAATCAGAAATGATGGGTACCCTCAGAAAAAATTAAACAAATAATTGGTACTCATTGGTGGTTTCTGGCTCGGTTTCAAGTAGGATCAACTAATTCGTCAGGGAGTTATTTTGATGATACTACAGTAGACAAATTTCCAGCATCACTCGCATTTCTTAATGGCAAAGTTAATCCCTCCCGAGGTTAATGATACCAATAAATAATTCAACAATCACTTGGCTACTCGACCATTTAGACTTTGTAATTTGATAAAAATCGCAAATATATGTGGCGAATTTTTATTTATTATTTCTTAAAATGCCAAAGATAAATTCCTTTAAATTTTTTTGAAGAAAAAAATCAAAAAAAGAAAAAATTATTTATTATTATTTATATTATTTAAATAAGGAACAGGAAACAATTTCAGAGTGTCGAGTAAAATTCAATAAATTGTCGATTTTCACATTCTTCTGTTTTTTTCTTTTTTTTTAATTTTGAAAAATATTTTCAATTTGTATATATTTGATCAGTGTGGTTTTCATGAAAAATAAAATTTTATTTTTTTATATGATTTTTTTTAATTTCTCGTTGTTCTATTTTTTTTTTAATCAGAAAAATAATTTCAATCACGCTGATAATCTTTTGTTATGATTATGATTATTATTATCATTAATATATTTGTTTTGCTCACATACATTATGATTTGCTGGTTTTAATTTTGTCACAAGCTATATATATATATATATTTTATATAGTCCACCGAAATTTGTTCTAAGAATCCGTATTTGTTGGTTTTATCATTTCCTTTTTTTTATCAATATCAGTTTCTAAAGAAGCTTTTAGCAAAAAGTTTTATAAAAATATTAAAATTGATTAATTGCATGAAATTCAAGAAAAATTTAGTTGAGGACGCTTGTTTTTTTGCAGATTTTAAAGATTTTATAATTTAATGCATTCGAACATAAGTAAAATATCAGAAAGAAGATCGTTATTTTTGCAAATAAAATAAATTTTTTATGGCGATTGATAAGGAATAAAAAATTGCAATAAATATACATTCAATTAGAAAATATGTTCAATTTTTTTCAGTTAAAAAATTAAAAATAGAAAAAAATGCTAAATTGAAATTCATTTTCATACTATAGGAGAAAATTTCGATGAACGAAAAATTTAAAAAATATAATAAACGTATAGTATTTATAGTAAATTTTTTAAATTTTTTCCCTGAAGGCAGATATCGAAATAAATATTTCAAATAATTAATCAATTGAAGAACTTTTCGTGAAAAAAATTTTTTCAAGAATCATAAGTATTATTAAAATTATTAGAATATTAATAAAAATTTTTGGAATTTCTAAAACTTTTAAAATATTCTATTTATTAAATAAAATTTATAAAAAAATTAAAATTTTTAATAGTTAAATTTATAATGAAAATCGATTTGAAAAAAAATTTTTATTTATTACATGTAAGCAAATAAGATTAAATTAAGAAAATGAGTAGAGAATAAGATTTTCACTTAATTTTCAATTCAATTCTTTAAAAATTTATTTCTTAATCACTTGCTTAAATTTTTATTGCACCAATGATTCTTTTGTTATTTGAAAATGTGAATAAATGATTAGTGGATAGCACTCATTCGTGGTTCGATTCGCTCCACTGGCCATTATTTTTTTCTTTTCAGTAGACAACTTGTTGCAATAAAAGTAAAGTGGCTATTAACACCATGTGAATTTTATTTTATTTTAAGATCGCTAACGATAGGGACCAAACTACTTGAAATAATCATCTAAGCAGTACAAATCGAGCACTTTTCATTCTTAATCGATAGAATATCAAAATGAATTTTAAAAAACAATATTAGAAATTTCGAAAGTTTGCATAAAAAATCAAATCAACAGCGGACCACATGAAAATTTATGTGGTGCTATACGAGTGTGTTAAGAAGCCGCTCAATTTTTATGGTTCATTCGATTTTTTTTAATCTGTTTCTTATCATTTTATTCTGCAAAGAATCGATCAATCAAATCACCGTGAACACATGGCTAAGAACTAAATAGTTCAAAATTATTGATTATTAATATTGAGCCAAATTGCTGCTTTTACCTTTGGCTCGAAATTGCTGGATTTAAAAAATAATAAAGGAAGCACTGGCACTTCGGCATTTTTCCGAAACCGAACGATAAGTAGCAATCATTCAGCTGTTTTGCCTTCATTTAAACGATATACAAAACTAATAAGAGGCCAATAGCAATTTTTTAATCCTTTGGTTGCAGTTAAGCTAGGAAATTATCAATTGATTGATTATCAATTGATTGTATTTATCACATATTACAAATTTTTCTTAAAGCGATACTTCAAAATTTTATTTTATTAATTAATCGAAAAAGAAAATAATTAGTTGAATAATTTTTGAAAAGAGAGTTAAATTTTAAATTTTAATTAATTAATAATTAATTAATTAATATGAAGCGATGAGCAACCAACATCCTCGAGAAAAATTCGACCTTGTTGCTTATATAAATATCCACATTGGATGCACAACATAATTAGTGGAAGTCCATCGCATGATTCTGGCAATGAGCATTTTCATAGACGTGCATCAACATCAATCACTGGCGGTCGACCACCACTACCAGTTAGGTGAATTTTTTTTTCAATTTTTAGCATGATAATTGTATGAGATGCATAAATTTGCCATGAAATATGGTTAAGAAGGTTAAATTTTAGCAAAACGACAAATTTCGCATAATATTTCTTTGTAAAACCAATTTCCATTTTATTGGCAAAATTTTTACAAAATCTCCTCATTTATATTTTTTAAATTCTTTTTAAAATTAGACAAATTTGAATATAAAATTTAAAACCAAAAAAATAAAAAAATTTTTTTCAACATAAATCATTTCTGAATTCAGTGAAATACTTACAACAGATTATATTTTTAATGAAATTTTAAAAATTATGATAATAATTTGTAATAATTTTGTAATAATTGTAATAATTTTAAAATTAATATTAAATTAATATCAAATTAATAAAAATAAAGATAAGTTAAAAAGTAAAGTAATTTTAAGAATTAATTATTCTCTTTTAACTCCTATAAAGCAAATCTAAACCCATGCAATTTTCTGCATGATTTAAAAATAAAATAAATATTATAGTTCATTTATCTACAAGAATTTTGATGGACTAAAGCTAAACTTAAATTCATAGAAAAGCGCGAAGAACGATCAAGATTTTTAATTTTCAAGTACCAATCAAGCATTCTAATTCTAAAGCATTCTAACACTTCTATTTTTCGTTATAATTTAATTAAAAATTTTAAAAAGTAAGGAAATAAAAAAATTCCACCCATTCGTATGGTTTTTTATCAGCAAATTGGCGATAGAAGTACAAGTGAGCCGCTAGCATTTGAATTTTTAAATGGCATTATTGCTAACCCCTAAAGAAACTAAACCACTAACCCTTAGCACGATAATATCTCTGAGCCACCACTCGTCGGCTGTCGTACCTCCATTCTTAAAAAAATACAATATTTATTTGATTTTTCATCAATGCGAGAAGTTCTTAACAATATAAAGAAAAATAAGGAAGCGAATATTAGTTTTTTTTTACGATGGACATAAAAAGATTGCGATGCGAAAATAATCCTCCATTCGTTTCATTTTACATTCTAAATGAATTGTTGGTAAATCGCCGGTCGGTAAGCATTTGCCATTCGTCTTCCTCCATCGCTTATTGTAGTCGAACTAATTAAAATTTTGAGTTTTTTCGATTTTTTAATAAAATAAAAAAGTGAAATCTAAAAAAATATATACTCGGATACTCGAATTTTCATTTAATTATCCTTTATATCGTTAAAATCGCTAAAATATTAGAATATTGCACGTTCTATAAAAAAATTCTTCCCCTAAGGGATTATATTTTGATTATATTCCAATTTTAATATTTTCTAGTCAAATTTTGATTGATACAATTAAAATTTATTTCCGGCAACGATCTTTTTTATGAAAATAACATAGCCTATGCCTATATTATTTTTTATATGCGATCATCAAAATTTATCGCCATTTCTATTCTTTTTCTTTTCTTTTTTTAGAAAATTATGGAAATATATGAAAAGGGTGAGTAGATAACGGGAAATTTACTTGAATCAACATAACCCTTGTTTATATAACTTTATGGATCCCTCATAATATGAAATTCTCTGGAGCATTCAGTTATTTGAGAAATATCCATCGATAAATTTAATTTTCTAACCAAAAATAGAAAATCAAATCAAAACAGGAAGGAAAACAAATTATAATACTCTAAGACCAAATGCGCCTTGAATATTCGCTCTTTTATTCCTTCATATTATCGATACTTGTCGTTCTAAAGATGCTAATTATATAATCAAACAATAAAGAATCAAAAACTAGAAGAGGAAATTTATTGGAAGAAGGATTGGGAAAAAATGACCAAACGAAAAGGATTTAGAGTAATAGAAAGAGAAATTGAGGATTTTTGCACGTTGAAGCGTTTTAGATTAGAGTGAAGGATTAGAACGATGAGTTGCTTTGGAAAGACTTCTTGCTGTTTATTTCTCGATTATGGATTATCATTGCCTATCGATGATCATCGGTACGCTTAATTGTTTTTTCTTAAATTTATTTTTAAGAATATTTTGAGAAAATTTTTAAAAAATATATATATATTTAAAAATTTATTAAATCGTAAGACGAATTAAATTATGAAAAATTTTTTTACCTCATTTTTAATAATAAATAAATATTTAAATGGTATATGTAATATAATGATATAATAATGATATGATATAGTGATATAATTTATATATTTGTATGAGAGAGAAATTAGCTGAAATAATTTCTTCTTTGTCGTTAAATAAAAGATTATTTATGAAATGAAAAGAAAGCAATCGTTGGAATTCGTTTTGAAATATCATATTTCTGATTTATGATTTACTATAACTATAACTTAGTTTTTGCTCAATGAAATTTCATTTAAAATTTTTTTTTTTTTCTAAAAATATAGGTCAGTAGGAGGATTTTTCGATATTAAAAATTTAGAATTGGATAAATGGGATGAAAATTAACTGGGATAAGAATTCGGCTTGTACCCTTCTCTCCCAACTGAATCTATTATTAAAAAATTCGAATAAGTGACGACCCATCTGTATTTCTATCAAGTGATTCTCTGGCAAAAGGCTTTAATGGCACTAATAGCCAGTGGATTGAATGAGCCAAACCAAAAATGATGAGCGCTAAACACTTTTACTTCATAGCAATTAATAATTTGAGCTTTAAATAAGGAATAAATAAAATTGAATAAAGATAGATGAAAGAAGAAATATTTGTTTGAACTTTTTTTTTGCTAACTAAAAAACTTTCATTTAAATTTAAGTTTTAATTTATCTGAAAATTTAATAAATTTTAAATGTCGAAAAAATAATTTCATTCATTCAAATAAAACGATGAAAACAAATCCAAATTAAATAATAAAAGTAAAATAAATTTAAATAATTTAAATAAAATTTAAAAAATTTTCATTTTAAAATTTAATAGATTGTCTATTTTAATATATAAATCAATTTATAAAATTTTCTCTTCTCCCCCCCCCCCCCCCCCCCTACATTTTTTGCCTTCTTTAACATTGGCATTTGGGATAGGATGGCTTAATGGGTTGTTGCTCAATTGGGAGCACCGATGCTGAGGTTCGATTCTCCGAAGGAGTAAACCTGCACAAAAATTCGGGTGATGCTATCGACTCACCTGTATTTCTATCGCCAAGGGATATTTCTGGCATATTTTTTCAGTGCGACAAGTCATGCAGAGTGAGTTTAACCAGTAATGGCACAAAATCTTAAAAAAAAAATTTAAAGTTAAGATCCACAAACTTACAGCAATGATTTTCCATAACTTTTACCAGAAATTTTTCTGCATTTTTTTTTAGAAATAATTGAAGATTACCTTACATATTATTATTTATTCATTATTATATAATAATCACATCAATAAAAACGAATAAATTAGGAAAAAAACATTTATATTCATTGAAAATAAAGAAATTAACCGAGAATTATTGGCTCTAAATTGGAATTTTCTTTTAAATTTTGCTCCAATCTGTTATTTCTTGCAAATTTAAGAAATATTTTTTCTGAATTTTTTGAAGCCTATAAAAAAAAAAAACAATTTGATAAATTGAAGTGATAAAAAAGCTAAAAAATTTTTCTCTAAAAAATCAAAGTGCTTTTACAGCATGCGTGAAGCCGAATTGTTTAATCGTACAGCCGATATAAGCATTAATTCATCATCTCCAGTGTTGCGTTCCAATGAATCAGGTAAATTTTATCTTTTTTTTTATTAATTTCTGTTAATTTCATTATCATTTGGCAATATTTATTATCAGTTGGCACCGATCTTTTTTTACTGAAAGCGCGAATCATTTCCGATTATGTTGCCTCTTATCAATTATAAGATTTGCTTATTTAATAATTTAAATAATACCTTAAAATCAATTCAAAAAATGTGTTATACACGAATCTTGTGAGAAAAATGAACAATAGAAAATTCCCTCTACTTTTTTTTTCGATTTTGTCCTATTTTTTTTGCGTTTTTCAACAATTTTCTCTATTCATTAATTTTTTTAAAAAACAATTGAAAAATGTTTAGAAACAAAATGATTTTTAAACATTCTGCTAGCGCTTCTTAGTTAATTTTTCATAATTTTTTTTTAATGAGATGCTTTATGGCTTTTAAAAAACTTTTTAAAATTTATTCATCGTCTTTTCCACGTTAATCGTCGAAAATCTCTCATTTTTCATATTTATAAAATAAACTAACGTTTGCATCATAAAAGTTGAAACAACAAATGAATAAGGTTTAAGGTTTGTAAGGATGTTTTCCTTAAATAAGTCACAGAAAATTATTTAGGTATTTTACGTAATCAGTTGCGATTCGGTCGACCACACAGTGGGGCGACAAGAAACTCCTCTGGACCTTCGCTACTTTTGAAGCAAGCGATTGCAAATCGAATAAATTCGGAGAATGATCAGAAATTCGTTAAGGCTACGGGAAAAGCTCTTAATACTCATAAATTGACCCATTGTGGTCAAAATAATTCTGATGACCTTAATGGTCATTCAGAAATTAGCGTTAGAGGCGATGAAATGCAACAATCGATAATGGCTAATTCAGCGTGGTATCGAGATGATGAAGGTAGAACAGGATATAAACCAAAAGATTGGGCCGATAAAATGCGTCCACAGCAAAACCAAGTGAAAAAGTTAGATCGAAATGAAGAAAAGATTTCATCATCTGGATATGATAAGCAACAATCTTTGATTTTTCCGGAAAAATCTTCTTTTCCTAGAAAAACGAATAAATCGAACTCGCCGACCACGTCAAATGATTTTTCTACAGAAATAAGTCTTATAGAACAGCACAAATACGATTCAAATAGTGATAAGGCAAGCATAGATCTTCCTTTAGTCCATCAAGCTACGAAACGAGTCCACAGTTCTTTGAATAAAGAATCTCGAACACCTGAGAACCACAAAGAACCACAAGGTATTCTTCCTCAGTCCAGAGAGCCCACCGATTCTCATTCACTTGAAAAAATTCTATCTACTCGATCGATTAGCTCAGAAAACACTTGCAAGATCTTATCGCTTCATGGTGATGTTTCTCTTGATAATGGATCAAGGAGACTCTCTTTACAGTCACATAAGAATGTAACATTTTCTGATACAGTGGAGATAAATGAAATTGAGATGTTACAAAGGGATGTCAACGATTGCTTAGATTACTATTCAGATGAACTCGAAGAATCCGATAAAAATAGCATTCGATTTGGAACTTCACAATCACCAACCATATCAATTTCTGATGAATCACTTGAAGAAGAGTTTCAAACACATATTTTCAAATCATTTAACAGTCGAAATCTTTCTAATATCGCAGATTTACATTCGGCGAGTGATTACTCTGCAGACGTAGCTCAGATCAACGATAATAGCTATCACATTGATTACGATGACAATGAATATGGCTTATCACTTAGCACACGAACTTTAGTGCCGGAGTCAGAATTTGACTTGAACACTGATTTAACATCCATTCAAGTGGAAACTAGTATGTCAGGACAATATGATAATTTATCTTTTCGAACAAATAATTCATTAACAGCTGGAAATTCTTTGATTTCCTCCATCTATGATAATATGTCACAATCATCATTCTCTGATAATTTCTCTGATAATTTTTATAAATCGGAAGAAAATGTTATAAAATTAAGTAAATGTGGATTTGAGAGTAAGGAAGTGCAAACAGACGATAGTTATCCTTTCAAACATTCTCCATTAAGTGGAGAAATTTCAAGGCAATCATCTGCAACGATTCATTTAGTACCACCTGACTTAATAAATGTTGCCACAAATCAAACAGCTCAAGCAACATGCATTGACTCAAAAATTAGCGCTTCAATGGACAAACAACAATTCAATTCTAATAAAGAACAAAGGCATTTAAAACATTTTCTTGCCCAGTTTGGTACAAATTATATGGCCAAAGCTAATTTTGATTCAGATGGCGAAGAATATCCAATAGATCCATCACAAAATCGTAAAGATAGTTGTGCATCTACGCTTTCACGAGAATCCATCCTTAGCGTTACTTCAAATCGAAATGAAAGCCTAATCACTCGTAATTTCAATTATTAGTATTCATCATTCTACGTCCAGCAATATTTTAAAATTGGCGTTATTATCATTATCTCTAACTCCATCGTTCATGGGAAAAATTATTTTATTTGGTGAAAAATTTTATTTATATTATAAAATTTTTTTTGGAATTAGTTGTATCATTTTCGACTAATTCTTCCGATTTTTTCTATCCTTTTTTTCAAATAGATTTTGCTTATTTTTTAATTTTAGCAATAAGATATTGAATGATTTTATTCTTTTCGCTTCATTATGTGATATATTTTTAATCAAATAAGTTGATAAGAAAAGCAGCGCAATTGTTATATTTTTATAAACATATGAAATAGAATGTAAAATATTAAATACATGAGCACTTTTCGGTTAAGTGGGCAACGTAAGGCTATATATGAGATTATTGTTCCCTTTTTTTTCTTCTCCTCCTTCTCTTTGGAAATTTTCATTTTTTATCCTTATGATAATTAGTTCTACTTATTTCTTACAATATATTTTCATTTCATCTGATTTTATACCGATTGCCCTTTTTTTACCTATAAATGACCTATTTAATCGAAAAGTAATATGCCAAAATCCTATAAATCCTATAGTATATAAATATAAATATAGTTCACCAAAGTATAAAAAAAGCTTTTTATAAAAGCATTAAATGAGAAAAAATTTTAAAAATGAACCATATTTTAAATAAATATTCGATAATATAAAATCCATGGATTTTTTGAATTTCAGGTTTATAAAAATAATTACGAACCAACCAGCGTAATGTGATTAAAATGGAAACCATTCAAAGTCATTCGCAAATCATTCTGAAATTTAAGAGAGAATCTCGCCAGCACTGATAATAAATGATTAATAATAATAACCTTTAAGAATATAGAATTTATGATAAGTTTCGCTTATGCATTCAATAATTTTTTAATATATTGCATATCTTATTTTGGTCATTCTGAATTCGGTTTAAATTTAAGTTTGGGCAACATTTGCAACAAGTAGAGCGTAAAGCCTCTATTTTTCATTTCAAGCAAGTGAAGCAAAGTTCCAAAGTTCCAAAGGTTAATGCAATAATATTCATTAACGCATAAAAAACGAATTTCAATGACAAAAAATGTGCTATAACAAAAAATTTCTTCTCCAGCACCGCTTTTTTTACACTTCCTATCAAATGGTTTTCTAACGATTTTCGGCAATTTGATCGAAAAATCGGTTGTTTCTATCGTAATTCAATCATCAATATTTATTACTCGTCGAAAATCATAGAATCATAGAATCATCGATTTTAAGTAATTTAATTTAGAAAATTTTATTGGAACCATAAAAATTAATGAATAAAGTCGAATTACAAAATTAAAAATTAATTTAACTAATTAAAAATTAATAAAATTAAAAAGTAATATGGTGCAAATCAATGGCGAAAAAAATTTGTGGAGGCCACATGCTGCAAAATTCTCCGATGAAATTCCATAATTTTTAGCAACAAAAATAAAAAGCTTAAATCATCAATAATTTTTATGGTTCATGAAAATTAAATCGTTTCTTCGCACCATATTAATAAATATAAATTGGCATTCATCATCGAATTTCGCGCATTTCGTATGTTGGTGGCTCAATGGCAAGATAATGCTAAATTAATAACTGCTACTGAGAATCGTGATTTAGCTTCGATTCAACGTACCAATGCACCACTCATTGTTCGACAGCAATATCACCTAACGGAAAAAAAACGTGAGGGTAGAATGGCTCGGTAGTTTGTTGCTGAATCGGAAGTGCCGGTGCTGACATTGCCGACAGGAGTAAGCCTGTCTAAAAAAAATGCGGATGATGCTAACAACTTCACTGTACTTCAACAGCGAAATGTTTAATTAGCACCATAAGGCAGAGAGTCTAAGCGAGTCTAACCAGTAATTGTGGGTGCTCTAAAAAAAAGATCATCAAAAATTAAAAAATCTAAAATGAAAATTTGATCACGAATGAACAAGCAATCATATAGTATGAGCATATAACATTTTTTATCGTATGGTACTTATAATGATAAAATTAAACGCAAAAAATAAAACATTTAATAATTTAAATTTAAAATAAAATTTAATATCGATATTGTTATTATATAAACAATATTAATATTAAAATTCAATAATAATTTAATAAAATTTAATGAATAAAATTTTTAAAACTAAAATAATAAAAATTATATTTATTATTTGACGAAGTCTTAAGTATTAAAATAGCAATTTGTGATTAAAATCATCCTTACGTTTAATTAACAATACCTCAGTGATAAATTATATGATAAAAATATAATGAAGCCCAATATTTCGCGTATTTCAATACGCAAGCTTACTTACTTATTTATCGATTTTACTTCGGTTATTCCGATCAAACTATAAGCATCAATTTCATTGACATCGAAGAAGCATACAATTTTGCCACTCTTCATGAATTTTGCCGTATAAAAAAAAATTGATGGAATCATGGATTTGCATCAAAAAAATTTTTGTCTCATCTTACCAAAATTTTAAAATCAAAATTTTATGGAAAAATCTTAAAAGATCGACAGAAATATATTAAATGAAATAAAACTGTTCACAGCATAGATTAATGAATCGCATTTTTTCAGCAAAATTTATTATCGGCGGCAAAAATTCTCATTTTTTTCAAATAATTTTTTCATCATATTTTTTTTTATATTTCAAATATTCATATAAATATTTTATATATTTTTTTAATAATCAATATAATCAAAGTTTTTTATAATTTTTATAATTTATTTTTCATAATCTTTTATAACTTTCAAATAGCTTTCTTTCTAAACTTACTTTCTAAACTTACTTTTCCCAAGTTTTAGCTTTATTTCATCGAGAATAATCAAGTGGTATGGCTGTATTAATATTCCACTGAGCATTATTGGTTCCACTTTCCCTGACAGCATTATATTAAAAATTAAGGATAATGCTGGCGATTCAATTATAATTTTATCGTCAAATAGCAAAAGTTTCTGATTACACTAACAATTATCAGCTAGAGAAATTAGCTAGAGAAATTCCATACTGAAGTATTTAAATTAGACCACATCAGATCATAGATTATGGACCAAATTATATTTTTTTAAAGAGTCCTCACCATTACTGGTTAAACTCGCTCCACTGGCTTGTCGCATTAGGCAAATGTGCCAATATCCCTTGGCGATAGAAATACAAGTGAATCGCCAGCATTACCCGGATTTACTCCTGCGGGATGTGAAATCTCAGCATTGGCGCTCACAATTGAACAATAACCAACTGATAGCAATAGCCACTCTACTCTTATATTTTTATCCATAAGTAACATTTTGGCAAAAAATTTCTAAAAGTGCTAGCGGCCAACAATAAGCATAACCAGAATGATTAGCGAATTTTTTTCACTCGAACTGTTTTTTTTTCCTACTAATTCAATCAAACACAATGGTAAGAATAATGTTTTTTGAATATTGTTTCATATAAGCAGTTTTTTTTCATTTTCCTCTAAACCAGCTGAATAAATTAAGTTCAATAATTTGCATAAAATTCGTGCTATTTTATATTGAATCGCTTAGCCTATCATAAATTATTACAATATTTGTTATATTTCCATGAAAGCCAATTTTTTTAAAATTTAAAATAAAATTTAAAATTAAAATTTAAAAAAATTGAGCCACTTGAATTTCTCTTCAAAGTATCTTAATTCTTTAATGGTCGTGCAATCTAATATATATATAAAGAGGGTGGAATGGTCAATATAAAGAGGGTGGAATGGCTCAATCGCTTGTTGCTCATGGAACGCCGATGCTGAGGGTATATTGTGTATGGAAATAAACCTGTCAAAAAATCCGAGTGATGACAGGCAAATCATCTGGACTTCTACCGCCAATGGACTTTCTGGCATATTTATCCAGTGCGACAAGGTAGCGAGTTTAACAAGTAATGATCAGGTCTCTTAAAAGTAGAAGAACATCAATGTAAGGTATTTAGCTTAGTAATTGTTTGTGAAACTATCGGTCTTATCAGCTTTTATTTCATTCTCCTTTCGATGCATATTTCATTGGAACTAAGCTTGGTGTTTTCGAAGGAATTCTTAATCGTTTTCTTTTTCTTATTTGATAAACAACAAATTTATTTTATTTTATAAGCTTTCACATAGAAATAACAAAAAGACTTGAATCTCAAGGAAAAAAAGGCCTTTCTTGTGAATCGTCGAATATGAAATTTTTTTCAATTATTATGGATAAATACTAGTCATTTTGCCACTTAAAAAACATCTGCTTTTATTTATTTATTTATGAAAATAGAAATTATTTTCCGTGGATTTTTCATTCTCTCTCTATTGCTTGAAACTATTTTTGAAATATAATCAAAGTTTTTGACAAAATTATTGTCTAGACATGATTGTTATAAAATTTACTAAATAAATAGAAAATTTATAATCATTTTAAATAAATTTTAAATATTATAATTTATCTAAATAATAATTGTTAACAACTAAAAAGTTCTGAAAAATACTTAATTTTATTCCTCATTTCATTTCATCCTTACAATAATCCTTATAGAATCGAATCTTTTTAAAGACCCACTCACTATTACTGGTTTGATTCGCTCTGCTTGCTTGCCCGGACTAGGCAAAATATGCCAAGGAGTTTGTTGGCAATAAAAGTGCAGGTAAGTCGATCGAATTTTAATTTTTACAAAAAATTATTTCACAAAATTTCATTATCAATGCTCCGAATTGAACAACCCACTGAGCTATTCCATTCTCTCTTGCTTTTCTCCATTAGGTGGCAATGTCGTCTATCACTTTATGAGAGCGACATGTCAATTATTTCTCCACTGAGCCATGGACGTTACGAAATCGGATTATTGGAATAAAAATAAACGCATCGAACAAAATATGGCATTTCAAATTTATTTTACAATCGACCTATATTTTTTATTTTTTCTAAAATCCTTTAACGACGATTAATTATCAATCATTGGTTTCGTGCTGCGTTCATATTC